CCCCCAAACCCGAGGAGATGCCACCAGGCTGTTCTCAGGTGGGGATGAGGAAAGGGTGGTGGCACCTCCCTGAGTGCGGCCTCTGGGACCCTTGGGGCCCACAGGGCTCCTGCTCAAAACCGCAGGACAGGGAGGCGGTGCCACCCCGGAGACTGGGCTTGCTGGGATCGTCTGGAGAGCAGGGCCGGGGGTGGGCCCTGAGCGAGGGTCCCTGGACAGGGGTGGGTGAGAGGAGACACTTACTGCTTTCCTTCTGTTGCCGGGATAAGAACATACTTGTCAAGATACATTCTCACTAGGCGCTCCCGCTCCTCCGGCCCGGGCAGGTCGAAGTGAACCATGACATCGATGCGGTCATGGATGTCCCGATGTAACTGCTCGGGGTGGCGGCTGGTCAGGACCAGCATGAATCTGCGGAGCAGGGATGGGGAAGGAAATGCTGGGGCTGCCGGCCAAGCTGCCCCGAGGGGAACACAGGCTCCTTAGTCCCCCCAGGGGGACTTTCCGGGAGAATCTAAAGCGGCAGCTTGTGAGCACAGGAAACACCGGGAGGACGCGGCACAGCCTTGGTCACCGCCTGCCCCACCACGCCCAGCTGTCCCCCCGCCCGGCTACCGGAGCCTCTGTTCTCATCCCGTGTGGCGCTTCCCTGCTGACACTCGCCCAGCGTGATAGGCAGTGCCTGGACCACCACTCCTCCTGCTGCCTGAGCCCTGCCGTGCTGGGAGCAGGGATGCCGCACCCAGAGTCCATGTCAAGAGTGGCCACGCCAGCCAGGAGCAGGACCTCGGGGGCTCGGGTGCAGCGGAGGCTCAGCAGGGCCTCAGCCCTGCCTCTCTGGGAAGGACCTGAGCCAGGGCTCCAGGGAGCGTCTACCGGCAGCAGCTGAGCCAGGGAGCCCAACACGCCTGAGGAGTCGGCCATGGCCGCCTGGCAGGACTTGATCCTCCGTGTGACACGTGACCGGGGCTGGAGGGGCCCAGGAGACCAAGAAAACTCAAACTTAGGGGATTTGGGAGGGGTTAGGGAGCCTGGCCATGGGGCCATCCACCTACTGGGGACGTCTGGGCAGCAGCTCACGGAGGACGCACAATGTGGGGAGGGCCCCTAGCCTGGAGGGTGCACCCCTGTCCAGCATCTGGGCGGGGGGCCAAGGCCCCAGGCTCCGCCCAAACACACAGGACCTGCTCGTACCCAGCTCCCCATGGGAGCAAACGTGTCTCCATCTCCCACCCCAGAACACCCACAACCTCCAAGGGAGGCCCCAGCAGAGCCTCAGGCGATCAGACCACCTCCCTTGCCGGCACAGGACCGCGGAAACCCAGGGGCAGAGGGACCTGCAAGCTGGGGCGGCATCGCACAGGGCCCTGAGGACAGGACTGACCCCGGCTCTGCCCAGGAGGCCCCTGCATGTTCCTCAGTGACGCCCCATGCTGTCCCGAGCTGGGCCGTTCCCAGGGGACATCCGAGGTGGGCATGTTGAGGCCACGGGTACTGCCCAGCACTGTGATCCAGGGCCCCTGAGGTCCCTCGGTGGGAACCAAGGGCGACGGCTGCACAGCCCTACCCGGGGGCCCAGGACCCGAGAGGCCCCCTCACTTGTTGCTGCGCTCCTTCGTGTGGTTTAGGAAGGCGTTCTGGGCGACTCTGAGATAGTAATTGCTCATCTCCTCCTGCGGAGAGAAGGTTCCAGCCTTAGGCACCAGGAGCAAAGCCTTGTAAACAGCCACAGCAAAAGCTCCCACAGGCCTCCCTCCTGCAGGGAGCAGGGACGTGGCCACACTTTCAGGGATCTAAACTCAAAAGCCTGACCAGGGCCAGGGACGGTGGCTCATGCATGTACCGTAATGTTTTGGGAGGCCGAGGTGGGCAGATCACCTGAGGTAGGGAGTTTGAGAACATCCTGGCCAACATGGTGAGACCCCGTCTAAACTAAAAATACAAAAATCAGCCAGGCGCGGTGGCACAACTGTGGTCCCAGCTACGTGGGAGGCTGAAGCAGGATAATCACTTCAACCTGAGAGGCAAAGGTTGCAGCGAGCCGAAATCGCACCGATGCACTCCAGCATGGGCGACAGAGTGTGACTCTGTATCAAAAACAAAAACAAAAACAAAAACAAAAAAACCCCTGACTGGGCATGAGGGCTCACGTCTGTAATCCCAGAACTTCACAAGGTCAAGGCGGGAGCATCTCTGATAGCTCAGAAGTTTGAGCCCAGCCTGGGTAACGAGGGAGTAAGTCCATGTCTACTAACATTACAAAAAAACAGCCGGGGGCGATGGCTCACGCCTATAATCCCAGCACTTTGGGAGGCCGAGGTGGCCGGATCACAATGTCAGGAGATCGAGGCCATCCTGGCTAACACTATGAAACCCCGTCTCTACTAATAAATACAAAACAAAATTAGCCGGGCGTGGTGGTGGGCGCCTGTAGTCCCAGCTACTTGGGAGGCTGAGGCAGGAGAATGCCATGAAACCGGGAGGCGGAGCTTGCAGTGAGCTGAGATTCCGCCGCTGTACTTTAGCCTGGGCGACAGAGCGAGGCTCCGTCTCAAAAAAAAAAAAAAAAAAAAATTAGCCGGGACCAGGCACAGTGGCTCACGCCTGTAATCCCAGCAGTCTGGGAGGCTGAGGTGGGCGGGTCACCTGAGGTCAGGAGTTTAGGACTAGCCTGACTGACATGGAGAAATCCCTTGTCTACTAAAAAAAAATACAAAATGAGCCGGGCGTGGTGGTACATGACTGTAATCCCAGCTACTTGGGAGGCTGAGGCAGGAGAATTGCTTGAACCCAGGGGGAGGAGGTTGCAGTGAGCCAAGATTGTACCACCGCACTCCAGCCTGGGCAACAAGAGCAAAACTCCATCTCAAAAAAAAAAAATTAGCCGGGCATGGCACTGTGCCCCTGCAGTCCTGGCTACGCAGGCGGCTGAGGCAAGAGGACGGCTTGAGCTTGAAAGGTCGAGGCAAACAGTGAGCTGTGATCGCGCCACTGCACTCCAGCCTGGGCGACAGAGACCCTGTCTTAACATAAGAACTGTATGGCTGGGCGTGGTGGATCACGCATGTAATCCCA